AGTGCCTACTGTGTGCATGGTACTTATAGGGTAGAATGACCACTATGTGTACCATGTATGTAAGGTAAAGTGCCTACTGTGTGCATGGTACTTATAGGATAGAGTGACCACTATGTGCACCGTGTATGTAAGGTAAAGTGCCTTATGTGTGCATGGTGCATTTAGGACATAGTGCCTACCGTATGCTGGGGTTTGGGCCAGCTCTGGGAAGAGTCTGCTACTGTATTTTCTCCCTTCTCCTTTCTCCCAAGTGTCTCTCTCCCTACCCCACTCCCTACTCCCTCTCATACAGACAGGCTGCAGAGCAGGCTCTGATACCCATTCACTCCCACAAAATTGGCCCAGGTCCCCATCACCATCAGGGTCTATCTACAGCCAAAAGCAGGCTTGTTATCTACCAGAAGACTGGACTCCCAGAAAGTATCCATGCACCAGATCATAGAAGCATTTGGGGACCTGAGGGTGGCCCTTTGAGATGCTAAAATGAGGGCATGTGCCCGCCTTCCCCAGCCACTTGTAAGCTCCTTAGAGATGTCCCCAGCAGTCAGCGTCCAGCTCAATCACTGTTCGATGCTGGATGAGATGCCATCAGATCCTCAGGGGTTCGTCAGAGTCTACAAATGTAGCTTCCAGGCCGAGGAAACAGCTTAGTTGATAAAGTGCTTGCTGCATAATCAAGAGCACCTGAGTTTAGATTCCCAGCATGGAAAAAGCTGGGTGTAGTAGGGTGTGCCTGCACAGGGGAGGGCTGGCTGGTCATAGGCTAGCCCAATCAGGGAGCTCTGGGTTCAGTCAAAGATCCTGTCCAAAAAGTAAGGTGGTTGTAGGGGAGACACCTGGCATCCACTGCCAACTTCTGGCCTCAGTGCACATATGTACACACGTATGTGTCCCCATACACACATGCATGTGCACAACACACACACAGATACAGACACACACATACAGACAGACACACACTACACACAGACAGACAGACATACACTACACACACACACACATACAGACAGACACACACACACAGCTGATTTATTCCAATAAATTCCTTCTCCTCAGGAGGGACCCCTGCTTCAGCGGGTATTTATGAAGAGAAGAGAGAAAGAAGAGAAGGGTGAAGACTGGGCACGCTGGGTGCTGGGTGGCAGGATTGGAGCTGAGAATAAGGCCTGAGTGACAGGCACGTGATTGCAGTGGAAGAGGCCTGTCACAGGACCCACAGGAAGTCTCCCTGGCACATAACCATGGTCTCAGAAGCTGGGAAATTGGGTTTCTGCACTGAAAGTCTACCCCTGGAGGCAAGTGTCCCCTGGATGTGCCTCCCACAGGGTACAGCTGCTATTCTGCCATATGCATATGTGCATATGTATATATGTATATAAGTATATATGTATATAGGTACATAGGTATATATGATGTATATACGTATATATGGTGGATATATGATGTATGTATGTGTATATATGTATATGTGTATATATGTATGTATAGATGTATGTATATGTGTATACATGTGTATGTGTGTATATGTATATATGTGTATACATGTGTATATGTATACACGTGTATACATGTGTACGTGTATATATGTGTGTATACATGTGTATGTGTGTATATGTATATATGTGTATACATGTGTATGTGTGTATATATGTGTATACATGTGTATATGTATACACGTGTATACATGTGTATGTGTGTATATGTATATGTGTGTATACATGTGTATGTGTGTATATGTATATATGTGTATACATGTGTATGTGTGTATATGTATATGTGTATACACGTGTATGCATTGTATATGTGTATTCGTGTATACATGTATACGTGTATACGTTTATATATGTATGAATCAGCCTTTTCTTACTGACAATCTCTCCACCTTAACGCTGACCAGCCATGGCCACCAAGGGCTCGGGGACTTGTGTATTCTCCCCGTTCCTTTCCACAGTGCCTGCGCCCACAGCCCACGGCTGGTCCTTCAAGTCTTTTGTCCTTTAGAATATTTGTATTACATTTATTTGTCCATTTAGGGGAGGTACATGTGAAAGCATCCATGTGGAGGTCAGAGGACTCAGCTCATAGGAGTTGGCTCTCTCTCCTGTCATCTGAGTCCCAGAGATGGAACTTGGGGCAGCAGGCTTGGCAGCAGGCGTCTCTACCTGCTGGTCCATCTTCCCAATTCAAGTTGTTTAGTCTTACAGGATTTAAATCTTCTACAGTCAGCTCCTGACTTCGGCTGCCCTCCTCACTCTCCTGTGCTAATCCCCCTCCTTCAACTGTTTGCTTGCTCACCTCCACCCCTGTTCCTTGGCCTCGCTGAAAGACTTAAGTTCTCCTATATGGAGACAATGGGTGAGGCCTTTCCTAGGTACACTGAGCACTCTGCTGCTCTTACATGGAGCCCGGGGCTAAAAATCACACCTCTCCATCATCTCCCTAGACAGGTCCACAGTCGGATGTAGTGTGGGTTGGCCTAATGTCATTTGTATTCTAATGTTCATTTGGGTCCCCCAAAACTGTTTGCCCTGGAGACTAGAGAGTCTGTACATAAGATGCTGAGAGGCACTGCCCCCAGTTAATTCTGATTGGTAAATAAAGACGCCAGCGACTCATAGCTGGAGGAAGAGACATAGGTGGGGGTTAGGTTTCCCAGGTTTGAGGCCACGAGAAGAGGAAAAGCAAAGCCACCATGGGATAGAAAGGGTGTGTAGAAGAGGAGAAAGGAGAGCCACTGTGGGTTAGGGGCCAAGAACATGTGGCTCAGAGGGCTGCCTAATTGGAGCTAAGAGCAGCCCAGATGAAGCATAGCAGTAACTTGGGTTATGGATAGGAGGTGGATTCTAACAGCACAGAGGGTAAGCAGTTGTCCAGCTGTTGTACTGATTAAGGCATATTAAATATAAGGGCTGTGTGCATGTCTATCATCTGGGTACATAAACCATTAAGGAAGGAAGGAACCCTGTGCTGAGATTTTTAAATATTATTTTTTTACCACAGTAGGGCACGATGGGGACTCCTCAGCACCCCGATATAGTCAAGTGAATGTGAAGACCGCAGGTGATAGCCCACCCCCAGCTCTGTGGAAACAGTGTCAGGTCCCCGTGGATTTCCCTTTACGGTGCTCTTCTCTGAGAGCGGATAGAGAGAGAGTACGGTCCAGATTGTTGCCTTTTTTTTCAGAGAAGCAGCTCTCCAAGAGCTGTATCCTTCTTGAATATAGGACCAGGAGTTACTTGAAGGAGCAACTTTGTTTCCACATCTGAAGGGAAAATTTCCAAGAATGAGAGCTATAGCAGCACCATGAGACTTTGTGTTCCTTTTAGAGGTTTTAAAAAGGAAGTCCGAATCTCCTCTGGCTGGGGCTCTCTGGGCAGGCCATGTCTCCTCAGAATGGGGCTCTCTGGGCAGGCCATGTCTCCTCAGAATGGGGCCCCTGGGAACAGACCATGTCTCCTCAGATGGAGGCTCCCTGGGTAGATGATGTCACCTAAGACTGGGAGTCCCTGGGTAGACCATGCCTCCTTAGACTGGGGCTCCCTGGGTAGGCCATGCCTCCTCAGACTAGGGCTCCCCAAGTAGAGGTTGCTTTCCTTCCAGTCTGAGGAGTTTAGTACCAGCTTTGTTCTTAGACCTTTCTATCCCCCAAAGAATACAGGAGGGCAAGGGACTCTGAGTCAGGAAGATCAGAAATTGCGGAGAGTGACTGAGATTGGCAGGGCCCCTTCTGCTCAGCAGCCTGTCAATAGTACGATTTGAGACTGGAGGATAGGACATTCCAAACTATGTTTATCATGTCTAAAAGGCACAGATTCACTCAACTGTGACTTTGGGTGTGGCTAAGAGGAATAGCTGAGGATGGCTGGGTCATCCTCACCTTTGTGATCTCTCATGCCTGGACCATTATGGGTACTGTGTGCATACGTGTGTGCATGTGTGTGCATGCATGTGTGTGTGTATGGTGTGTGTGTGTGGTATGTATGTGTGTGGTATGGCGTGTATGTATGCATGAGTGTGTGTGGTGTATGTGTGTGCTGTGGTGTGTATGCATGCATGTATATGTGTGTGTGTGGTGTATGTGTGCTGTGGTGTATATGCATGCATGTGTATGTGTGTATGTGTGTTGTGGTGTGTATGTGTTTGTGTGTGGATGTGATTCCTGTTACTAACTCAGAAGAGTCAGCTTGAATGGAGCAGGGTGCTCCCAAGAAAGGAAAAGATAAGGACACCCTTGGGTGGGCTGCTAATCTCTAGGCTGAGCCTCAGATGTCACGTCTCCCTGCTCAGTGCTCCAAGGCCACGTGTACCGGTTCTGCACAGCGGAGGGGCTCTGGCTACATAAGGATAACTCCAGCCTGCCCTGGAGGGACCTGTCGGAGTGTGAAGAGTCCAAGCGAGGGGAGAGAGTGAGCTGAGGGGTCCTGAACCCGGGAAGGGGCAGCTAGGTCTCTGCTTCATGGGAGCAGAGACTCTAGGCTCAGGGTGGGGCGGCTGCTGTCACACTGTCAGTCCCCTTGCTTCCGGTGACTTTGTACCTCTGCTGTCTGGCCAAAGGTGATGTGTACTTACCGCAGAACCAGGTCGCCAACATCCCTGGGCCACTTCCACGAGTCATTCTCTTTCTTGATTCTGGAATCCCGAGTGGGGCCCCAGGGCACCTCACATCCTTAGACCCCAGAGTGAAGCACTTGGGAGAAGAATGCTCACACACACACACACACACACACACACACACACACGTAAGGCCCACTGGCCATGCACACACCCTCATGCCCCTCTGTGCACACAGAACTCCCCTGAGGAACAGCTCCTGTCACTGTACATCATCTACACAGTGGGGTACGCGCTCTCTTTCTCCGCCTTGGTCATTGCTTCAGCCATCCTTGTTGGCTTCAGGTAAGGAGGGGGCTCAGGACTGGGAGGGAGGGCGCTGTCTCCTGCTCAGTTCCCTAATAGAAGAATTTCAAACCAAAGCAATCAGAGGGTCCTGCTCTCTAGAACTTTCTGGAAAACATGAGGTTGAAAACACACACACACACACACACACACACACACACACACACTGATTACAACAATAATGTTCTCCTGTGATTCTTGCCTGTGTATTTCCTTCCGGCATACCCCCAGAGGCAAAACTACCACCAATAACCAACCACCTGATCTTTAGTGTCTGGTTTACTAGTGTTAGGTTGCTTCCCAGTTGGCTACTGCCAGGTGGCACTCTGGCCACCGGTGGAGACGGTTCTCTGAGCTCACAGCACACCCACATGTAGCATTTTCAGACTTAAGCAATGTTAATCTATAAGGCATGTAAAAGGCCTTCTTATGGTTCTAGTTTGCTTATCTTTGACCCCTAGAGAGAGTGAGTGGGTTGTTTGTTTGTTTGTTTGTTTGTGTTTCTTTCTTTTGATATTTTAGTTTATGAATTGCTTTGTTCATTGCCTTTTTAAAGAATTGGTTTATTTGGCTTTTGTGTCTTGTAGGGATTTATCTGGCTATTAACCTACTTAATAGTAGACATACTTAATCAAAGTATTAAGTATTAATAGAGACTTAAGCTATGTTTGTCATTATGGTGCCTTTTACACACAGGTGTTCTGCATTTAAATGAAACAAAATTGGTCAAGTTTATTGATAAGTAAAACATATCGATAAGAACTATTGATTAACAAAATTAATCTTATCAGCTGATAGACACTTATTAATTTTTTTCATTGAAGACACCACAAGAGTCCTCAGATTTGTAAGTTGGTTTCTGTCATTTACAATCCTTTTCTATTGATCTGTTTAGCTACCCTAGTCTCAAACCACAGTGTCTTGTCTCCTAAAGATGTAATAGAAATTTAAGGTCTCAGGCCAGCAAGGTGGCTCAGCTAGTAAAGGCTCCTGCTGCCAAGGCTGATGATGACCCAAGTTTGATCCCTGGAATCTACCATGAAGGAAAGAACTGACTTCTCCAAATTCATTTCCAGACTGGCACAAGTGTTCAGGCATGTGTGGTCTAAAACACACACACACACACACACACACACACACACACTAAAACAATTAATGTAATAAAATGGTTTTTAAAGGACAGATAAAAATAAAAATAAAAATAAAAATAAAAATAAATCCTAGCTCTCTGGCTGCAGAGATAGGTCAGTAGGTTAAACATTTGATACGCACTGTGAGTACCAAGGTTCGCATCCCTAGAACCCATGAGAAGCCAGATGTGGCTGGAGACATGTGTTTGTGGCCTGGTGCTCCTGCAGAGGCACAGAAGGCTGAGACAGGAATAACCTAGGAAGTTCAGGGGCCAGCCAGCCCCCGTGTAGGGAATAGTGAACAAGAGATTCTGTTTCAAACAGGACAGGAGGGGAGGATTAACACCCCGAGTTGTCCTCCAACCTCTGCACATACACTCACACACATGAACATGCGCATATACATGCAGGCATCATATGCACACACAGAGGCATCCTAGCTCTCTTACAGCAGAGACTCCTATACTGTGATTCCTTTTGACTGTTGATTGTTTTGAGACAGACTCTCATGGAGTCTGGGCTAGCTTTGAACTTGCTATATGTAGCTGAGGCTGGCCTTGAACTCCTAATTCTCCTGCCTCCACCTTCCAAGTGCTGGGATTATAGGTGTGTACAGTCATGCCCATCTGGGGGAGGTTGTTTTGTTGAAACCCTGTCTTGCTTTGTAGCCTAGACTTGCCTCAAACTCTTGATCCCCCTGCCTCAGCCTCCCATGTGCTGGGATTACAGGAAAGGGCTGCTTGACTACCTACACTATCCCTGACCTTTAGTTATTCTTTGTAAATCTTTTCAATACCATGAAAAAAGTCGACATTTTATTACAGCTGTTTGAATTCATTATTCACCATGGGACAGTGGCATTTCTTTTCTTGAGTGTGGTGTGACTATGTGTCTCCCATGAGTTTAAGACTTCTCTAATAACTTTGAGCCAGTTTTATCATGTTGTCCACAGCGATCTTACCAATCCTCTTGTTAGCGATAGTTTCTGGAAGTCAAATAGAACCTCTTCTACTTCTTTTTATTGTGTATTGCTAGAATGTGTTAGGGGACCCATCGCTGGATCCTTGAGACATTATAGTTCATCCCTACATTGTTCTGGTGTTTCTCTGAAGAATTCATCTATACGCCATACTGAGTTCTGGTTCACCTCTTCCATGGCCCTGTTGTAGTGGTGAGAGCTAATTGTCATTAGCAGCGACACATCCTCGCTTGGCTGCTGAATTTAAAGGAAAGGGTCTCCAAGTTCCTCCATTAAGAATGATGTTGGCTTTTGCTTGGGAGATAGCTTGTATCAAATGAAATGCCCTTGGATTTCCAGTTTGTCACACAGTGGTGTGTGTGTGTGTGTGTGTGTGTGTGTGTACATGCATACATGTACATATATGTGCTTTTAACATAGATTGCATACCAAGCATGTGGAAATCAAAGAGAAACGTCAGGTGTCCCTTTCCATCTTTCTCAGAGCGAGATATATATATTGTATTTGCTTGAGAACAGGATTTCTTACTGAACATAGAACTGGACTGGCAGCCAGCAAACCCCAGTGGTCTTCTGTTCTCTATGCCCCACCCCAGCAATGAGGTTACAGGTGTGCACGCTTGCTTTTTCACAGGACTACTGGGGACCTGAATGGAGGTCCTCATGCCTGGACAGGGAACACTCTTACCCACTGAGCCAGTCTCCTCAGCTCTGCTGCACACTTTAACCTGAAAGTATACATTGTATCCATTTTGAATTCCTACCGTGTGCCTAGAGCTATTCAACCCCAGAGAACAATCCAGAAACATCCTGTGCTAAAGAATCTAAACTCCCATGGGAAGACTGATCTTGTTACATATGTTGCTTTGGTATGAAAGACGGCACCACAGCAAGGGGTGGAAGTGGTCGGTGATTGTCCAGTTGAGGGCCTCTTAGACTGGCAGGGCATCAGAGATTTTCAAGGTTGTGAGGGAGAAAGACATTCTCAGAGGAAGGAAGATGTGAACATAATCCCAGAGATGCCTGATGTGTATGTATGTGGGCTGGCCAGAGAACTGGTACTGGCCAGAGAGCCAGTGTTAGCCATCATGCCAGGAATGGACTCCGCTTTCTCTCTTAGACACTTGCACTGCACCAGAAACTACATCCACCTGAACCTGTTTGCATCCTTCATCCTCCGAGCACTGTCCGTCTTCATCAAAGATGCTGCCCTCAAGTGGATGTACAGCACGGCTGCCCAGCAGCACCAGTGGGACGGGCTCCTCTCCTATCAGGTGGGTGGTGCAGCCTGGGGAGCTTGGGAGGGGTGGACATTGGTCAAGGAGTCCACTGCATAAGCCTGGGATGGATTAAAGCAAGAGTAGCCCAGACGTGGCCTTAGGGAGTCACTGTATGATGAAAGAGGCAGTCCATAATGAAGAATCCCTTGTATTATGAGAATCTACCATGGGAAACTCCTAGTCTGATGGCAAAGGTGGTACACCATGGGGAGCCCCTAGTGTGATGAGAGAGGCAATCTAACTTGGGGAGTCCTAGGTAGATGGGAGAAGGTAGTATACCATGGGAAACCCCTAGTCTGATGTGAGAGGCCGTCTACCCTGACAGGCCTAGTTTGATGAGACAGAACACCGTAAGAAGCCCCTAGTCTGACAGAGCCCCTAGTCAGACATTCTACCATGGAGAGTCCCTAATGTGATAGGAGAGGTAGTTCAACATATGGATCCCCTAGTCTGATGGGAGAGAAAGTCTATCATGGGAAGCCCCTAGTCTGATGGAGGAGACATTCTACCATGGAGAGTCCCTGGTGTGATGGGAGAGGTAGTTCAACATATGGAGCCCCTAGTCTGATGGAGGAGGCAGTCCACTTTGGGCGGTTAAGAGACTCTGCCACAGGGAGTTCAGTCTGATACAGGGAGTTCTCTGGACACAGACCTGAGTTTGAGTCTCGGCTCTACCTTGTACTGGCTGTCTACTAGTCCAGACACATCACATGACTTCTCCATGGCTCAGTTCTCCTCCCAGCATGGGGGCAATAGCAGGTGCTTTCTTCTCAGGAGAGGGAGCATTCAATGACCTAAAGCAGAGAGAGTTCCCAGCAGTGAGCCTGGCTATATGAAAACTCCTTAGTCCCGTGTTGACCATGGTAGGACAGTGGCCAGGCCAGGCTCATCGAGGAGTGACAGGTGGGGCAGGAAGCAGGGCTACTGTTCCCCATGGGACCCTTCTTTGTCCCTAGGACTCTCTAGGCTGCCGACTGGTGTTCTTGCTCATGCAGTACTGTGTGGCAGCCAACTACTACTGGTTGCTCGTGGAAGGCGTGTATCTCTACACGCTGCTGGCCTTCTCGGTGTTCTTGGAGCAACGTATCTTCAAGCTGTACCTGAGCATAGGCTGGGGTAAGGCCCACAGTCATTCACCTCACCACCTCCATGACCCCACCCTACCACATGTGTGTGTGTGAGTATATATATATATATATATATATATATATATATATGGATATATGTTTGTGTATATATATATATATCATATTATATTTATATATTATACATTATACATTATACATTATATATTATATATTTATTATTTATTTATTATATATTATATATTTATTATATATTATACATTATATGTTATACATTATACTTTATGTTTTATATTTTATATTATATCACATACCATATACCATAATATAGTATATAGTATATAGTATATAGTATATAGTATATTTATATGGTATACATCTTTTCTTAGTAGATACTTCCATTCTCAAATGGCCAAATATTACCTCTACCCCCAAGCCCCTTAGCCCTCTACCACACCACTAGAAGTCAGGACACTGCCCTCAGATACCTCTTCTCCCGAGGTCCTATGGGAGAGTGCTTCATTCCCAGTTCAGGCAACCCGAGGTCCTGAGGGGGATGCTACATCCTGGGCCTCACAGTGGGCAAGGGGTAGGCAAGTGAACAGGATACGGGCTAACATAGGATGTTATTGGGACAATGAAGCAAAGGACCCAGGGGAGAGCCAAGCTGGGAGGGGTGACTGATTGAGAAAAAGGATGGACTGTTGATGTACCTGGAGCTGGAAAGGTTCCAGCCAAGCTGGAAAGGTTCCACTGAGAACCATCAGGTCTTTTTTTTTTTTTTCTGGAACATTTCTGGTTGTGTTCCTACCTCTTGCATCATGGGACCCTCGTGGAGGATGGGGAGGGATGAGGTTTGGTTGGGGTGGGGCTAGATGGGTTGTAGCCCTATGGAACTATGGAGACAGATGAAGGCAGCCCCTCCTAGAGGGACCAGTGGGTACCCCCACCTGGGATGGACAGAAGACAGGCCTGTGCTCAGCCCTACTTAACCTACCCTTGAAGTTCCAGAGTTTTCTTCCATGTGCGGAACCGTTAGTCCCTAGACCTATTCTGATCCCTCCAGCTTCTTAGCTTAGTCACGGCAGACTGCGCTCTCCCATCCTGGTCCTGCTCAAAGTAGGAGATGGGGGGAAGGGTGTCAGGTCCTTCCAAAATGCTGCTTGGTGCTGGAAGCATCCTTCTTTACAAGAAGTTGCCAGCTTACCTTCCAGGAGGCCACCTCAGGGTTGAGGAGCCCTAATCGGGGGTTATCATGATCAAAGTATTAAGGTCCCTAAGACCGGAAGAGCAGAGGGCCTTAAAGGCTGAGTAGGTATTGGGTCATAAGAGGCTCCCAGCTTCCTGGCTCTGGGCCTTGTCTGCTTGTCAAGCGCAGGTCTTATCTTCTGCTTCCCACTCAGTCCCCTGCTGATTCTGCTGAGGAGGCTTAGATCTCTATATAGATAAAAGTGGCCCTGGCTTCAGCACTCAGAGCTCTCTGATGGTCCCTGTCCTTCCTCTTCCTCCAAGATCCAGCCTGTTCTACTAGATCTTTCCTTCCTTCCTAAGCCTCTCTATCCTGACAGACAACCCCATCAGGTGGGGCATCTGGAGAGTCCTGCTGCTCCCTAGGGGTGGGTGCAGGGACAGACCATTAAGGAACTCAGGGATGGGCTTCCTCTGTGTGGGGGACAAATGGTGTCTGTCCATTCTGGGAAATAACATCAGTGCTGTTTGTATCTGTCACCATAGCAACCCAAGGGCAGGACCAACCAAAGGGATGTGTACAGAAAAGCAGGGAGTTGGTAGGGATCAGTAGAGACAGAGGATGCTCTGGAGTTCTCAAAGTAGGAGATGGGGGAAGGCTGCCAGGTCTTTCTTGTCTACCCTAGCTCAGGGCTCAGAATCCTTAGGGTTATCTTTCTCAACCAAAACATCTTTTCTTGAGGAAGTGGGGTAGGGAGAAGGGTCAGAGAGAAGACAAGAGTCACAGAGATCTGCGTGTTGTTACTCTTGACAGCATCCTAGCCCAAGTCAGGATGCTGCAAAGCAACTTCCGGCTTCCCATGCAGCTGAACTGATGAAATGCAGCCTGCAAGGATTATGTCGCCTTGGCGGGTGGCAGGGCTGTGCTCCTGTTTCTTTACCAGGGCCTTGTTTGCCAGATGTTAATGGATAGATGAAACTCGCCGGGGGTAGCTGGTGGCATGGGCAAGCTCTCTCATACTGGAGTGAGGTCTCAGAGAGAAAGAACGACAGCTGATGTGGGACACGCAGCTGGAAGTTCCCGTACATGGATGGCCTAAAAACTGGCACATTCTTGTCTTAGAGAGCTTCCCTTCTCTCGTTGATATATTTATTCTATTCATACTGGGTATATTCTATAGGGCAGGGTCTACGCTATGCCCCAGGCTCCTCCTAGGTTACTCCATTATTTATTCAGTCCCGTGAATACCTGGTTATAAAACATCATGGATGTTGGAATGGCTGATCTGTGTAAAAATAAACAGGATGGAGAGAGATGGACGTACGGGCTGAAGACAGGGAGGATGGAGCATCAGAGAGTTTCCTGGTCCTCTTTCCATCATGTTGTACTGATCCTTTGCTACCTGAGGGTCTATCCTGGGGTCTCACAGCTAAGACTCTGGAGATGAATCCTGATACATGGAGGGTCTGGACCATGAAGAAGTCTATAAGGAAGGATGTGGAGTATTAGTGTGAAACCCTGAACCTTCATTCTCCCCAACACTCAGACCAGCCTGTTTTAGGGCCAGGAAGGGAGAGAGACTTGGGGTCTGAAGGGTCTGAAGTGTGGAGAGGACCTGGGCACTGTGGCAGCAGCTCTGACCTGCCAGCTCCGATCTCCTCTCTGTCTTCTCTTCTTCTTCTAGGAGTCCCGCTGCTGTTTGTTATCCCCTGGGGCGTTGTCAAGTATCTCTATGAGGATGAGGGGTGAGTGAGCACCCTGCTGCAGGAGAGTGATGTGCTGAGGTCTTATGCGTCTCAGCCCTGGGAGTCTTGAACCCTGGAGCATACGTTTATTACCTGTCAGGGAGGATTCGTGGGGTCAGCGGGAGTTTAGCGTATGAATTCAGTCTGTCACGTCCACTCCCTGAACCTGCCCTGGCACGGTAGGATGATCAATATTTCTGGCCTTTGTAGTCCATGGTGCCTCCCTGATGGGTATTATGAACATCGGAGTGAATAGCCTGTTGTTTTGTGCAGCGATCCGTGAAGAGAGAGGGGAGGCGTGGGTATCTCTGTGTGTATGACCATGTCTTGAGGATTTGGGGCTGGGGGCAGGGCATGGGATGCGTTTGCAGGGCTCTGCATGGATATGCAGCTGGGTGTAGCATTTTTCTTGGCCTCGGGTACACGTGCTGCACTAGTCCCTGAGGGCTCACTGAGTCCTGCCGGATGCCTTGTGAGCACCTCTCTTCCTCCGTAGCTGCTGGACTAGGAACTCCAACATGAACTACTGGCTCATCATCCGATTACCCATCCTCTTCGCTATCGGGGTAAGTGACAGAGTTTGGGGGTTGGAACACAAGCTGGTGGACCTGGACTGTGACCAGGCTAATAACTGGGAGAGAGAATGAGAGTTCCCAACCCCCCTCTCCCCCGGCTTGTGTGTCCTGCAGGTCAACTTTCTTATCTTCATCCGGGTCATCTGCATCGTGGTCTCCAAGCTGAAGGCTAATCTCATGTGTAAGACTGACATCAAATGCAGGTACATTAATCAAGCTACAGGGGTGCCCTCAGCCTTCCCTTTTCCAGCAGAGAGAGAATCTGGGGTGCTCTGTTCGGAACCCTCTTTTCCATCCAGACCTGGTTTATAACCCCTAACCTTTCCCCTCACTCTATCCTTAGCAGCCCCTGGACTTTTGAAGTCTTGACCTCTGCCCCCATCCCCCACACCCCGGGAGCCAGTCCAGGGTATTTCAGTGAGGAATGTCCATGACTTGGCAGAAACAGGGAGGTGGAGGTGGACACAGAGATGAAAGACCAGTCTGTGCACAAGCCCAGAATGACCCTAGTGGTCTCGCCCTCTCTCCAGGCTTGCCAAGTCCACTCTGACGCTCATCCCACTTCTGGGGACACATGAAGTCATCTTTGCCTTTGTGATGGATGAGCATGCCCGAGGAACCCTACGCTTCGTCAAGCTGTTCACCGAACTCTCCTTCACTTCCTTCCAGGTGACCCAAAGTGACCTGGGGCCACTTGCCTAGGTTGTCCCAAAGTGAGGGAGGGGTGGGCACCAGCCTGAATGATGCAGATGGGAGAAATGGGTAGACTGAGACCTGGGAGAATAAGCCTGGCTCCAAGTCACACAGTTGGAGCAGAGCCAGAACATGTGTGCCCAGGTATTTGGACATATAAATCAGTCTTCTCTGGAAGTCCATAGGACAAGTACTCCAAGTTGTGTGGGAGTCTTGGCATCTAGAGAAAGGCATGGCCATCCGCTAGCATCCTGCCAGGCGATTTATACACACAATGCATTCAGTTCTCCCAGGACTCACAGTTGAGAGATTGTCCCCATTTCACATAACTGGAAACTGAGGCCCAGAGATGTTAAAACAAGATTTCCAGGGTGTCGTGTGACTTTGCCTGGGGAGACATGAACAGACAGACATCAATTCACTCCAGATAGAGTACTGATAGTCAACCAAAGAAATGATTCCACTGAAGTCCAGTTGAACCAATGTGCTCGTTGGGGTTGGATACAGAAACAAGGGAGGCTCAAAGACAGCTGCACCACTGTAAAGCCCATCCCACCATGGCTGATAACTCACAGAAGCTGCATCCCTGGAGCTCCCTGCACAATTTGCAGGCAGCTCCATGGAGCAGAGTCTCCTCTCTTCAGCTGCTGACTGCTCAGATAACCCAGTGGAGGGGCCTTGTATCTTTCTGAACTTCCTGAATCTTGTAAGTTCTGGGACCTTCCTGGGTCTTGTGAGTTTCCTCTCTCCTTTCAGGAAGAAATATCTTAAGTAAGAAGAGCTAGCCGTACCACACAGGGGTCACACAGGTTCAAAGCAGGGAATCCGTCCTCCTCACTAACATTAGATGGCACAGCATGGGTGGGAAATGTAAGAAACCAATGCTGGAGAGATGGCTCAGTAGTTAAGAGCATTTGGTGCTCTTACAGAGGACTCAAGCTTGGTTCCCAGCATCATGTGTTCTTATACAATTGCCTGTTACTCCAGCTCCAGGGATCAGATGCCCTCTTCTGGCCTCTAAGGGCTCCTACACATACGTGGTGCATATAAAGTCTCTCTCTCTCTCTCTCTCTCTCTCTCTCTCTCTCTCTCTCACACACACACACACACACACACACACACACACACTCATGCACACACACATATATGCTCATGAGTGTGCATGCACACACACGCACACGCACATACACATACACACACAATTTATTTTGTCTATATCCAAGGCTGCCCAATCTGAAGACAGGGTGTCAGGGGCTGCTTGTCCAGTTGTTTCCTTTGGGCACCCTTCCTGCTAACATGCCTCTTGTTTCCAGGGCTTGATGGTGGCTATCTTGTACTGCTTTGTCAACAATGAGGTAAGGTCTGAGGAGGGCTGGTAGGGACCCTGTGGAGGCTGCTGCCATTGGCTGGTAGGGGGCTATGCAGTGAGGGGTCAGTGTAATCTTTCTGGTTGAAACCTCTGGTCCTTTCACTATGGCTGAAATTTGGGGTGACATCTTGCCTTTCTATTCTTTTCTGCGCTCCCCCCACCAACACAGGTGCATATTTGCACTCTCTCACACACACGCACACTGCACACACAATTGAAGAGAGAGCTTAGGCACAGCTTAGCCTTGCATTAAAGGGTTACTGTTGACTACTTCAAGCAGGGGTGTCCAACCTTCTGACCTTGCCGCCTCTCACTGTCATCCACGAATGATTTGGGCCACATCCGGCACTATCCTAATATGCACGCGGTCATTAGGCTACAGGTTGGGCACACCTGATTTATTGCAAAGTGATTCGACACACATGTGCCCAAGCCACTCTTGTGGCCTCTGCCCACAAGAGCTGTTCTCCAGACCTGGGGTTGCCATGGCAATGCCAGGTACTTGTGACCTGAGAAGATGGTTTGAACATTTGTCTCATGTGGTTGTCAAGGCCTGCACCAGCTGCTGGTCGGTGGGTAGCGGGGACAGGGGAGGGGAGGCACTGGCGATGGATTGAATGTGGCATCTGTCAAAGGGCCAAAGTGAAGTAGCCGAGGAGCCCTGAAGGCTCATTCTGTTCTGCACTGCCAAGCTGTGTGACTTCAGGCTAGCCACCTTGTGGGCTTTTTTTTTCTTTTCTCCTCAGGGGTCAGTAGAGGTGAGAAAGATTTACCAAACCTGGGGACCGATCTGGTACTTAGTCAGGGAGGGCACTTGGAATGTGATGGTGGGCTTCAGTGCAGAAAGGGTTAACATTAGATGGTGCAGATGCCAGGCCACTCATTCATTCATTCACTCAATAATTCATTCATTGGGTTATTAGCACATTAGATGGTACTCATGCCAGGCCAGATCATTCAATCATTCATTCATTCATTCATTGATTTAATCATTCATTCACTAGGGGCATTAGCACATTAGATGGTACAGATGCCAGGCCAGATCATTCATTCATTCATTCATTCATTCATTGAATCATTCATTCACTGAGGGTATGAGCACATTAGATGGTACAGATGCCAGGCCAGATCATTCATTCATTCATTCATTGATTTAATCATTCATTCACTGGGGGTATTAGCACATTAGATGGTACTCATGCCAGGCCAGATCATTCATTCATTCATTCATTGGTTTAATCATTCATTCACTGGGGGTATTAGCACATTAGATGGTACAGATGCCAGGCCAGATCATTCATTTATTCAATCACTTATTCATTGGGGTATTAGCAATGTATGTATGTACCCCAGAGCACAGGTAAAGGTCAGAGGACTGGGGGATTCCATTCTCCCCTCTTCCATGTAGGTTCTGATGAGCCAACTCAGGTCATCAGGCTTGGTGGCAAATGCCCTTTCCCACCAAGCCATCTCCCCAGCCACAGGGTCATTTTTCATTTTACTTTTCTTACCGATCAACAAGAGGACCTCATGTCAGAGGCCGATTCGTTGAGTGGTCATTCATTTGACTCATCGAAGCAACCTACAGCGAGTGCCCGGCGTGTGTTGAGAGCACTGTGCTCGGAGCGTGGGTGCTCAGAGGAGGAAGATGTAGTCATGACTGTCAAGTGCTCTCTAAGTGGGAAGGAGATGTGGCCAGAGACTCACTAGGCTTTTAGAGCTTCACACGCAGGAAGCCGGTGGTTAGGAGCTTGGCATTGGAGTCAGTACCTGGACTCTAATCCTGGATGTGCCCTGGGGAAATATTTACTCATTTTCCTCTGCCTCATCACCTTGACTTGAGGAGTGGTGACTGTTTCCCTGTGTGAAACAAGACAGTGTCCCCTTTTGGATATGGATGTGCACATGCACGTGCACACACACACATGGAACCTGGGGGCTGTGCCAAGCGTTTTTCTTAGATACTCGCCATCTTGTTTTGAGACAGTGGACTCTGGCAGAATCTGGAGTCCATCAATTAGCTAGAACCCCAGGGATCCACCTGTCTCCCCCCAATCCCCAACAAATGGCACTCTTGTGCTGGGCTTACAGATCTGAGCCAATGTGCTCGATTTGTTTTTAAGATTTATTTTTACACGTAGGAATGTTTTACCTGCGTGTATGTCTGTGTACCACATCTGGAGGCCATAGGAAGGCATCGGATCCCTATTGAGCCACATACGGTTGCTGGGACTCGAACCTGGGTCCTCTGGAAGGGCAGCCAGTACTCAAGTCCTCTCCTCTTGTTTCTGAAGCAAGCAATTTAGTGGTTCTTGAGAACAACTCTGATGACCGGGGACACCATGGGGGCTCCGAAAAAGTACCAACGGACACAGGATCGAGGGATAGCACGTGCTCTAAGTCCTGCTGGGTTGACTGCACCTCGGCATACCAATTTTGTTTCCTGTCTTCCAAATGGGAGACTGGGAGAGATTTGCATTCCTGCAGCTGTGCAGAAGGGAGCCATCTTCAGGCTCAATGTCCCTCTCCCAGCTGTCAGCACTACACAAGCCCGACTAGGCTAGGCAGCTGTAGGTGGTGTCTGCTCCACCTCCCTTGCCCTCTAGGTCTGGGCTCCATGACGCTGTCTGGGACACCAAGACTCCCTGGCAGGCAGGCGCTGGGTGATCTTAGCTCTACTTAGCACAGAAGTTCTTATAAGGGATGGCTTGTGGCCACGCAGGGTGTCTGGCTGGGCTTAAGGCTTGGTGTACAGCATGGGAAGAGTAGAAGAGGAGTGTTTGCCTAGGGGCAGGTAGAGGCATTGGCAGAGAGCCTGTTGCAAACAGCCAGCCGCTGGCAGCCAGCCCTCCTGATGGCTTGGGACTAAAAGGAACACAGTCCCCAGACAGTCCAAGGATGGAAGAGCAGACAATGAGAATAGCTCCCAGAAGAGGGATCCAGCCCTCAGGACAAACTGTGCGTCTTGTCACAGCCTTCTGAGTCACAGAGTCTTGATGGAGCCACAGCGTTCACGTGCAAGTCCGGGCACCAGGGATGGCGGGGATCAGAGCCCCTCCGTGTTCTGTGTAACTTTCTGCCCAAGTAGTGTGATCCTCTTGCATGTACCCTGCTGAGAAGTCTCTTCCCCTGGGGAACACCTGAGCTCAGTTCAAATGGGGAAAATGGGTTGGCTGAACTCGAGTAGGCAGATTGTCCAGCCAGGTTCCCATCAGTTTCTCTGAATGGGATGGATCCAAAGCCGGGCACAGAAATCCCAGCCACGTATCCTTCCCCCTTGCCTTCTTCACATCCTCCCTGTCCTGTCAGGGACTGAGTGGAAATCTGAAGGGAAATCTGGGCTTGATTATTCATACTTGTCATTCCCACTGTTCTGGGGACTGAGGTAGGAGGGTGGAGAGTTCAAATCCAGCCTGGGCTACATTGTGAGACTTTGCTGTCAGAAAATAAAGGACGATAAACCTAGACCCAAACAGAGCGAAGCAAAAGTACCTCAGGGAGTTTAGACCACTTGGGGGGGGGGGGCTCACCAGGGTTAGGGGTGGGGTGTGCCTTCCCCTTTCAATTGTCCGAGCCACACAGCGAGAGCCTTTTATAAAGTGAGACTCCATCTTCACCAGCTCTCAGGCTCTCTCTCTCTCTCTCTCTGTCTCTCTCTCTCTCTCTCTTTCTTTCTCTCTCTCTCTCTCCACCTCACTCTTTCTCTTCCGTTGAATAGGACTGCAATGGACTGTAAAAGGTACTTAGCTGAATCACTGAATTTAGAGATGGAAAGGGCCAATTAGGTCATCAAGCCCATCTCTCTCCAGAGGAGAGGCAGAAAACAGGAGACAACAATAAACAATTTTATTGGGATATTAATTTAGGCGCCTGAAGACCTTGACTCGTGTCTTGTAATATAACCCAGTGGATTTTTTTCCCCCTCTTCCCTGCTAATGTAATAACAGGGCCATTTTGCGGGCGGTTGGTTTGCCTGATGGCTTTTTGCTTCCCTCTCTTCTTTCCCATGGAAGGTCCAGATGGAGTTTCGGAAGAGCTGGGAGCGCTGGAGGCTGGAACACTTGAACATTCAGAGAGACAGCAGCATGAAACCCCTCAAGTGTCCCACCAGCAGTGTCAGCAGTGGGGCCACAGTGGGCAGCAGTGTGTACGCGGCCACCTGCCAGACTTCCTGTAGTTGAGCCCCAGTGCCGCTCATCCTGTGGTCTTTGCTGTTGGCTGGGTGGGCCATCCCAGGTGGGAGAGACCCTGGGGACAGAGAAAGTGAGGGACATAGGCATACACACACACACACACACACACACACACACACACACACACACACACGCTTTCCTTCTCCAAACCTATCAGACAGGCAAGTGCCTCCTGGGACCTAGACACATGTTCTCCAAGGAGAACAGCCTGCTAATTTAATCACTGTGGCAGGAAGAGAGGAAGAAACAATTGCTGCTTGAGATGAAGACTTCTTCCTGTCAAAGCCACAAGGCCCTTGGGGTTCCCTCGGACAGAACAGCAAATCAACCCCGGACTCCTGCTCAAGGGCAATTGCTGATGGGTGGAAGTGGGGCTTGTAAGAGGAAGCAGTTCCATGAGAGACGGGCACATTGGAGCCTCAGCCAGCACAGAGTTCAGTAAGGTGAGCCGGCTGTGCTGTGTACATGGCTGGTGAGGTCACTTGCATCGGCCTTCCTCTCCACGAGAGGCTTCCTCTGTGCATCTGGATTGCTGCCGTTCCCTCCTCTGCCCGTTCTTCCGCCATCCTGTCTTTTCCTTGGGGAGGGGAGGTTTGTTGAAGTCAGACCGTGCAGCTCTTTCTGGAAGCATCTGTGAATGGTATTGAAGAGATGCTCAGAGGTAGTCTTTGCGCATACCCACTCCTTGCCTGGCCCTTTAAGCCACTTTGCCCTTGGTTTCTGCCATGCCTAGGGTACTAGGGCAGGTCCCACGGTGAGAAGCCCAGATGTGGTGTATGAACCCTCAGTTCTGTTGTAAAGATGCTCAGATACCCTCTAGGGTCCATCTAAAGGAATATCCCCTAGGGGTGCTGCTGACATTAATCTAGAGGAACAAGAGATTTATTGCCTACACACCTCCACCTCATCTGTAACCAGAGTCTAGGCCTTGGATGACGATTGGGGTATATCCTCTGACTTCAGAGGCTATGACCCAGAAAAGACTCATCCACTGAAACCAACCCCCACCTCCGCCTTTGAAATTCTCCCACTTTGAACATATATGGACTTTATCCTATTTTTTTTCCCTTTGTGCCTATTCAAACATATAATTCTGATTTCTCTCACCCAATGGAAGGAAGCACTAGATCATGGCTGTTGTTATGTTTGAGGGAGTGGGAGAGAGTGATTGATTTGATCCCCCCACTGTTGTTGATAAGTAATGCCTGCCCCACCTCCAGACTCCTCCCACGCATAATGAGCAGCAGGTAAAACAGGGTGGAGGGTTCATATATCACACTTGCCTCCCCCACTTCAGCCACTGCGAGAAAAGCTGTCAGAAAACAGCACTGCAGAGACCCAACCCTAAAGATTGTCTCCTCGGGGAAATAGGCAATGACTTCTTAGAGGCCCGGAAAGATACCAGAGCTGGAAAATGATCCTAGTAGTCCAGACCTCCTTTGAGGTCGGGGTTGAGGCGGCTTTACTTGTATTCTCTCACGAGGCTGATCTCTCCCTCCCCCTGTGGAGAGTGGGAGACCCTCCCCAGTGCTTACACTAGACGCATTCTCCTGTGCCCCTTGGAGAGGCACGAGGCATGTATGGGAGATAATGATGGGCCATAAAACATGCCAAGCAGAAAATATCTTATCCTTCAAGCTTCAACAGAGTGCTGTTGTCTATGTTAATAGGAAAGCGAGACCTCAGGCTAAAGAAAGAGCCATGCAGCCAGACTCCCTCCTTGACCAAGACAAGGAGTTCAGTGGGGGAAGTGGAGCCAGGGTCCTCTGCAGCCTAAGGAAAGGGCAGGTTTTTCCAGCCGGCACCTCTTTCTTGTTTCCACTCTGGGAACTGTGGAAAGACAAACGTGGGATAAACTGGGAACTTTCTAGAACCATTAATTACACACAAGTGAAGGGAAAAGACAGATATAATCTGCCTGAAATAAATTTTCTAGATGCTGAGAGAGTCTAGGCAACCCAGTGGGAGCTTTAATGTGGGGTTCTTTTCCCCTTCTCTAGAACTCTGGATTCTTGGGTTCACTGCACCTCACATTCCGAGACTGTTAATACATGTTTCCCTCCCAGATCCCTGTTACTGAAGAAGTCTTTGCCTGTCTCTGAGTCCCTGTACTATTAGTGTGTGTGTGTGTTTTTTTTTTTTTGAATGGCACCACACTCCCTCTCTCCAAACTTGCCTACGCTAAATATAGCTCCCCCAGGTCTGGGAACAATCCGCCGCTATGTACTCTGAAATTCCACTAGCTGTTTACAAGCCTCCGGCCATAAGTCTAAGCCTGGCACTTGCTGAGAATTCTCTGACCGCCCCTGACCCTGTCCTGGGGCTACTATTGTTAGCCTACAGGGTATAAGCGATAGCTTTGTTGGAGACACACGTGCAGGCTCACGTGGTGGTTGTCGACGGTTGATGGCTTCAGCACTTTGGCCAGCTCCTGGGAACAGGGAAAGGGCTGAAATCTCCTCAAAGACTCTTCTATTCTCTCCTTCAGTCTTTGAACACCTAAATCACTGAGCTTTACAAATCACTTACACTCCAAGACTGCCTTCTCTTTCGAATGACTTTGGGGAGGGCAGACATGATTACAATCACCCCAGCGCTCCTCACACTGAAGACAGCACTCATGGGGTGATCCTGACGATTCCTCCTGACTTTGGCCTACAGAAGCTGGGAGAGAGTCTTGCAAGGGTTGCTGGGGGCTACAGCTCCAGGCTTCCAGTGCAGCTGGGCCTCTGGGCAGGCCAGGTGAAAGCATACATGGTCATTCAGGATGTGCCAAGATCAAGTCCTCGTGTGATCTGGGTTTTACATTGAGGAAGAAATGGAACAGCAAAGGTGGAGCCATCCCATGTGATGTGATGAGAGGAAGCTGGGTGTGTTTTAAAGTCTGCTCCAGTACTTCCCTTGTTCTTAGAATTAAGAGAGGAGGGACTGGAGAGATGACTTCGTGGTCAAGAATATGAACTCTTGAAGAGGACCAGCATTCAGTTCCCAGCACGCACATCAGAAGGCTCACAACCCCCTGTAACTTCAGCTCTAGGGTACCTGACACCCCTCTTTTGGCTTCCAATGGGACCTACACATAAATAGCATACACACAACTCACACACACACACACACACACACACACACACCCCGTACCTGACACCCTCCTTTGGCCTTGATTGGAACCAGCACACATGTGGCATTCAAACACCTCACACAAACATACGTACATACATAAGAAATAAAATCTGCATAAACAAATCCAGAGATAAAACACGCCCGAGCAGAGAACAGGGTTGATATCTGAGAGCACCGCCACAGGATCGTTTAATGCCTCGTCTTGAATATTTTTCAGATTCATCTCTCTGTTTGAAATATGCTGATAGGCACACAAAAGTGACTGAAAGAAATGAAATGGGGACTGGGTACCTCATCTTTCCCTCTCCAGTGCTCCCTGAATTCTGGGAGAAGATCTCACAGAGCACCTGATGGTACAGCTCTCTGAAGGACCGGTAGAGTCTTGTCTTCACTTGAGCCTGAGCTGGCTGGGTTTCAGCCAGCTCAGGCAAGGAACATTTTGCGTGCCTGTGTTTGTCCTGTGCAGTCCAGCCCGAGGTGAGGAGATACTGGAGCTGGATTCAGCCCTCCTCCACCATGAAGGTCACAGGATTGCACCAGCCACGGTGGGGCTGGCTGGGAGGCTGGCAGATGTATTTCCTCCATGCACAGACAGGGCTCCCATTATCACTAATGTCTGCGACGTGCTCCGGGAAGACAGAATATGTTTCAAAGGTTTATATTCCATCTGCTGAATTGATTCTAATCTACAGGGCCGACTCTACTTTGGGCTCCTAGGAGGGAAACAATTTTTTTTTTCCCCTGATTCTCAAATCATAAAACACGGGGATTGATCCTGCTAAGACAGCTATGCAAATGGCATGTTAAATATTCAACAGAAAGGAAATTAGAGTCAACTCTAATGTGGTGAGGGGGGTTCCCCCCCCAACCTTTTTTTTTGTGGCTCAAATAAGTTTTCCTTGGTGAGAAAAAGGGGTCCAGTTTGAGAAACTTCTACCAACATTGCCATGTGTCTATGCTGTTGTCTGCAACCTGAACCATTTCTCTGGTCCTGAGAAAGACCATGTCTAGTAACCCCCTTCAGGACCAGCAAGATGGCTCAGCAGGTAAAACCACTTGCTTCCAAGTCAGATGGCCCGAGTTTTATCCTGGGTCCCACATAGTGGAAAGAATGGACTCCCAACATTGTCTTCTGACCTTCGTGTGCATGGAGTGACATGTATGTCCCCCCCCTTCCACAGACACGTACCCACATAGTAAATAAATAAGTGTAACTTAAAAGGAAATCTAAAAGAATGGTAGGTAACAGACACATTGCTTTGGAGAATATTTTCTTAAATAAAGAAGCATGGACAACCGGTGTGATTTCGAGAGCTTTCCTTAGTGCTGTGGTGTGTTTAGAGTACCCATGATTCTTTCTGCTCCACTCATGGGTTGATTGGCAGGAGACAGATGGGGCTAATGGTAAATTAGAACAGTAAATAAGACACCTCGTTAAGAAGCGCAAAAAATACATCAACTTTTGCTTTGTCGTTAAGGACCTCACTGTGTAGCACAGGCTGGCCTAGAACTTCCTTGTCTGGGGGTGAAACAACAAACAGAAGGGAGTGGTATTTAAAAAGTATGTTGAGAGGACTTGAAAATATACTCAGGAATACTCAGGAAGACACACATAACATAGAACGAGGAGAGACTGGGCTGGAGAGGTGGCTCAGCGGTTAAAAGCACTTGCTGTTATTGCAGCAGACTGGGGCTCCATTCCCAGCACTGGCTTGGTGGCTCGCAACCATCCAACAGGCATGGATGTGGTGCATACACACACAGGCAGACAAAACCTTCATACAGTAAAATAAATAAATCTAAAGAAAAAAAAACAGAATCAAAGCAGAAAGGCAGGGGTGGTGGCTGCTATCTGTAATCTGGATACTTGTGAGGCTGAGGCAAGAGAATTACCTCCTGTGGGCTAGAGTGAGACCTGTTGTGATGGTTTGTATGTGTATGTACT